GTCCTAAAGCTCTATCTCCAAATATAGTGGCACCAGGGATTATGGCTTCAATGCATGAATTGGGGTGGGGTGGAGCATGGGCACGATTCAGTCCATTCTATCTTTACCAGTTGCTAACTACGTTGAGAAAAATCTCTCAAGTTCCATGTTTTTTTTTTCTTTTCATTTTAAAAAATTGAGGTATTATTTTTATCCAATAAAACGCACACATTTTAAAATACTGCTAAGTGAGCTTTTTAAAGAAATAATCCTTTTTATTTTAGAATAGTTTTAGATTTACAGAAAAATGGAAAAGATGGTCTAGAGATTTCCCATAGACTCAGTAGCCAGTTTCCCCATTATTAAAAGCTTAAGTTAGCAGGATACCCTTAATGAGCGATTACTGGCTTGCTTTCACAAACCAATGCCCACCTTTTGTGTACATTTCTGTAATTTTTACCTAATGTGCCCTTTCTGTTCTAGTATTCCACTAGGACACTGCATTGCATTTGGTCATCGTGTCTCCTTGAGGCTCCTTTTGTCTGGGATCGTTCCTGAGGCATCCTTGTTTGGGGATGATCTTGACAGTTTGGAGTACTGGTTAACACTGAGGGTCCACTTCACAGGGTCTTGAATAGCTGGAACCTTTGGGCATAGTCTGTGAGATATTTTCTGGATTAGGTTAATTGAGGTGGGAAGACCCACCCTGAATGTGGGTGTCACCATTCCCTAGGCTGGGGTCCTGGCCTGAATAGAGAGGAGAAATGCTGAGACCAAGCATTCTTCTCTCTCTGCTTCTTGACTATGGATACAATGTGGCCACTGGCTGCCTGGCCTCCTGCCACCATGCTTTCCAACACGGTAGACTGAATTCCTCACAGTCTAAGCTGAAACTTTTCTGAAATTGCTTCTTGTTGGATATTAGGTTATAACAATAAGAAATGGAAATAATGTGAGTGGTGTACTGGCTGGTTTTGTGTGTCAACTTGACACAAGTTAGAGTCATCAGAGGAAGGAGCCTCAGTTGAGGAAATGCCTTAATGAGATCCAGCTGTAAGACATTTTTTCTCTACTAGCAATCAACGGAGGAGGGCCCAGCCCATGGTGGGTAGTGCCATCCCTGGGCTGGTGGTCCTGGGTTCTACAAGAAGGTGGGCTGAGCAAGCCATGGGAAGCAAGCCAGTGAGCAGCCCCCCTCCATGGCCTCTGCATTAGCTCCTGCCTCCAGGATCTGGCCCTGTTTGAGTTCCTGTCCTGACTTCCTTCGGTGATGAATGGTGATGTGGAAGTGTAAGCTGAATAAACTCTTTCCTCCCCAAGTTGCTTTTTGGTCATGGTGTTTTGTCCCAGCAATAGAAACCCTAACTAAAGCAAGTGGTCGGGAGTTTTGTAGACTCCTCTTCTCCAGGACTTCTGATGTCTTGCTCATCTCTGGACTGTGCATATGGACTTCAGAACTGAAGACCCCAGGGGTAAGGTGCCATCATTCAACGGCACACAGGCAACGTGACTTCCCACTGTTGACTTTGTCACCTGGATGAAGTGGCATTTGTCAACTAACGTTCCTCTCCTCCTCCCCCACTCTCCTTTCTACGTGGTTTTCTTTAAATGAGGTCACCGGGCAGAATCTATACTGAGGGCGGGGAAGCTATGCCCCATACCCTTGAGATAGAAAGAGCTACATGAATTATTTAGATTCTTCTATGTGTAAAATGTATCTCTTTGCTATTTCCCCCATATGTATTTATATCATCAGTGTGACCTAACATAGATTCATTTTATTTGGGGGATGTTATAATGGAATATTTTTTATAACTTCGGTTTTCATGTCCTCTTGACAAACTTCCATTCTTTTCTCCTCTCTCCTTTCCCTCTTCCTCCCTACCCCTCTCTCCCCACACACAAGCACAAGGAGAAGGAGAGGCATCCAGGACAAGATACAATCCCCAAGGACATACCCCGAGTTTGTCCTTCATCCAGTTAAGCCCTACCTTCCAAAGTTTCCAGAACCTTCAAACCAGTGCCACGAGTCAGGGACCAGGAATTCGATGCACAAGGCTGTGGGAGACATTTTA